GTTATCAACATTGTTCTCCTCCTAAATCCAAAACACAGCACTGTACCAGCTACTAGGAAGAAAATTAATTCTATCCCAGCCGAAACCAGGACATGAGTACATCATTTTGCACTTGAAACGAACTTTTCCATGGTTTTCTGCATTGTAGGAAACATGCTGATAGTGAGGTTTAAGGTAGTCCTGTTTTAATAAGCTGTGGCTTAGCCACAGCATGCTGCTTCTGTAAAAGTTTATTTTGAACCTTTCTTAGAGATAATGGAAGAAAACTAAAATTTAAATGTAAATTTGTCATTTATTAAAAAAAAAAGGCAAAAAAGAAACCCCATGGTGCAATTAATTTCCTGACTGGGGTGGAGGCGGGGAGTAGTAGGAAGTGTTATGCTTATCTGGAATTCTGACAGCTTCTATTTCCTTTTGGCTCTCCATATCGCACTTAGTTCATGAGAAATGATAAACATGTTTTTTACTATGTGAATGGAACAGCTCATAAAGCTGAAAAGCTGTACGAATGTTTGAAGAATAAGGTGGAAAAAATCATAGAAACTGTTGAGTATTCTAAAATATTCTGTTGGTTTTTTGTAGAAACTCCTTCATTTGAAGAACTGGTTTCCATTTACTGCCACTGCTGGAGTATTAGCACTACTTTATCCAACTTTAATTTTTTTCTTGCTTTGTCATATTTTAAAATGGCAGCAGTATCCCAGGTAATACATTTGCTGAAATGTCACACATCTTTATTGTGAGTATTTGTAGTTTGGTAATACTTGTTCAAAATATCAATTGTATTTAAAAAGTAACTATAACCATTGTATTTCAGTTTGTTCCTTCAGAAGCCATATCTCAGGTGCTTATGACTGGTAACTCTCTAGGATAGAATTCTTGCTACATAAAGTACATTGCGTTAGCTATAGCTAACTTCTTAGGGAAGTAGGCTAAAAAAGAAGAAAATGTGGATATGTAGATTTTTTTCTTATTAATGTTCCAGTATGCAGGCAATTTTGTCATTACCTTTTTGGACTCTCTGGCTAATTTAAATCCTGTATTACAGAGAAACAAATATCTTTCTAAGTTTCTGCAGCTCTCATGAAAGTAGATAGCAGGATAGATAAGTAAGATCCTGTTGGTGCCAGCCACTGATGAAAAAGGGTCTGTTGTGAACTCAGCTTATTATAAGCATAGGAGACCAATCTTGGGATGTGATTATAGGAGAAAATAAGTTTCATTGCTTCATTGTTAACAGAAGTAACTGTTTAATTAGATATTCAGCCATTGTAAGGCGTAAGTGTATTTTTATGAGTTGCAGCATGAGATCAGCATACCAAATGTGGGGTAAGCTAACTGGTATTAATTTGGAGTAAGAGTATATATGTGGGTACTTAATGTAGTTGTGGATAATAATCATATGTGTATACTGTTGTCAGTTGGCTTAAGGGCCAGGCTGGGCTTGCTTGCAGTATCATGTGCAGATGTATTCTTTTTTCTTTTTTTTTTTTCCTCTACTAATTTTTGTGATTTTTGTTTAGTTTAGTTTAGCTGGGGTATGTTGTTTTTCTCTTGTGCGCCAAGCATCTCTATTATATCAGAAATGGACCAAAACCAATATTAACATATCCCAGTAAAATCTGTCTGGGTGCTAATTTTTTCCTATTAAGAATATGTGCATTTAAGTGTTACTTTCATAGTTGAAGAAATCACAAATCTAAAAAAAGATACAATTTTAAGTGCATAATTATACCATATATACCTTTCTTATGGTTTTAGGGTGTATATGCTAGATATCTCATTGGAAATGCTTCTGCAGAGAATAGTCATGCATTTGCTAAGATTGTGAAGCCTTTGGCAGAGAGAGGGTTAGAGCTCTCAAAAAGGTAAGAGTGGTCTAAACTACTGGACAAAGGCAAGGCAAAGCTTTTAAAATGGCTTCACTTATTTAAATGCCTGTATAAGGCAGCTTATATTATTACTTGTTACTGCATTGAATGTTCTTCTTTAGGTCATCTTTCAGCAGCACACATCACAGCATTTCTGGAGAGTTGTTCCATCAAAGTAGGAAAGGCCAAGAAATTCTGCTGAAAGTCAAGCAGTTCATGAAGCAGCACATATATCCAGCTGAGAAGGTAAAAGCTTTTAGTAAACCTATTTATAAATGAGCATTTTATGAGTAGAGTTATAAAAACGTAAAGCTATGTATAGAAGTCATGCCCTCCTATGTTTTTTCTTTTTTTAAACAGCCTTATTTTCATGCAGTGATGTTTGTGGCATTGCAAAATATTAACAGAAATCCTTATAGTCTGCATTAATTTTTTTGCAGAATTAAAATGTTGTATGCATTGTTAATGAAAGCTGTGAGTTACTTTTTAAAATTTAAGAAGTACTCTTTTTAAAAAGAGATACTTTTTAAGGGTATTTGCCAAAATACTTTTAACACTAACAAAACCCTAGAACTCTTACGTACTAAATGCAAAGACACTTAGTTAAAAAATAGAAACTGCTGTTTTTAACCATACAAAGTTGAATGTTTCTGTTTCTTGCCTTATTTTTTTAAGGTATGACTTTTATGATGAAAAATGTGATTCCATAATGTATCAATGTAGCCTCATTTCTGAGTATATCTAATACCAGTGAAGATCTGAAATCAGATAGATAGTGAAATATCCACAGAAGTCCCTAATTAGTGGCAGGGAAAATAAGATGAAGCATTTTCCTTCTTAGCCTAGGGAGATTAGAAATTTTCCACTTAGGAAGTTGGTTCAACTTTTAGCCTCATGACTCATTTAGCACAGATGACTTTTGTAGCAGAATTGGGTTTTTCGGCTTTTTGGGTTTTTTTGGTTTTTTTTTTTTTCTTCTTTGCAGTCAGGCAGAAGTGCAGAGGACGTATTAATCTAAAAGATTAATGCATCTGCCTATCACAAGGAGAGGTTGAGAGCTGAAAGTCTTGATATGCAAAGTTTCTTAAAAATCTCTCTGTAACTGTTTTTGGATTGCCCAAGGAAGCATTACAATAATTAGTGTACTTGCTTTAAAAACAAATGAACCACAAAGAGCCATGCGAGTTTTCCAGATCAGTATGTTGTGCTTGTAAGTTATTTCTGATAACAGGGATTGTGAATCAGGACTTGTAAATTCTACTTTGGAATTTGTCTTATTGTGTGATTTTCAGAAGAGGGCACTACTTTTATTCATTCTAAAACTAGTTCTGGGCCAGCTTTGGTGAAGTGCCGGGCCTCACTAAAACATACCTGTGAAAATACTAGGATTACTGAATACACAGTTTTACTTAATACTAATCACTGGTGCTCAGAATGACCGTTTACATAATCTGTTAAGGAATTATTTTGACAGAAAAAAAAAGTATTCTTTGTGTTTTTTCTCAGTTAAAAAAAAAGATTAACTGGCTTATATATCTGAACATTGTGATGGGAAACCTGAATCTTAAGTGTCAGTACATCTGGCTTTTATTTGTTGTTTTGCTTTTGGGTTTATGCCTCTTGTGCACACTGTTGGTAACAGTTACTTGTATTATCAGAAAACACTGACCTTCTACCATCATCATCACTTATTTTAAACCACCCCAAACCATTTCCCCGTATGAAATAAGGTACTGATTGGGGTCATCTCCATGATGCATTTAAAGTCTTGCAAAATGAATAAATTGCAGTTTGATTTTTGAATTATATTTTTAATTTTGTAATGCAACCAACTGTATAATAAAAACCTGTGTTGAACATTTTTTTATTGGCTTCTTGGGGTGAAGGGCTGGAAAAGACACCATATTATTACTTGTGTATATTACATGTGTTCTTAATTTAAACAAGCATCTTTTTAATTGTTTCTCTAAGGAAATAATAAAACACTATGCTGGACATGGAAATACTGAGGAAAAATGGAAGAAACCACCACTGCTTGAGAGACTGAAAGTATGGGATAATAAATATTCTTGAGCACTCTAGCAGTAAAATAAACAGGCACTGACATGGAGCGTAAGAAAGTTTGGTGTATGCTGCTGGAGAAGTTACTCTGCATAGAAAGAAACAGCGTGAGGAACAGTGTAAGGAAAGGAAGAAGGACGAGTACAAAAGGAGATGAGAGATACGAATGAGAGGAGAAAAGCAAAAGCGAGTTCTGTGAGGGGTATGTCTGAACTTTAAGTCAAACACTACTTACTGAAAACAGCTATTGAAAATAGGCATCAGATATATTGGACAGTATGTTAGGCAGGAAGGAAGAAAATGGGCAGCAAGCCAGAATTTAATTTTTTTTTTTAAGATTTATTGCTAATGTTTTTCTCTGTTGATTCTTTCAACAGGAAATGGCCAAGAAATGGCCAAAGCAGAAGGTCTGTGGAACCTTTTTCTCCCAGATGTCAGTGGTCTCAGCCAGCTTGACTATGCGCTAATAGCTGAGGAGACAGGGAAATGCTTCTTTGCTCCTGAGGTTTTCAACTGTCATGCACTAGGTTAGCAACCCTGCCCAGAAACTACAGTGCTGAGAGCATTGAAACGTTGGGCATCGTACAGCTTACAAGTTGTGTGTCTCAAGAAGTAAACATGACTGCTGATTTCTTACAGACACTGGAAACATGGAGGTCCTGCACATGTATGGGACTGAAGAGCAAAAGAAAGAGTAGCTGGAGCCTCTCCTAGAAGGGAAGATTAGTTCTTGCTTCTGCATGGCAGGTAAATTTTTCTCCAGAAGAAAGTTAGAGGCAATTGGCAGAAATTTCACATGGCATATGCAAAAAGTACGAAACGACAGTTTCATTAACTATGTGTTAATGAATTAATACAGAAATTTCCACTGTATCTGTGAATATGTTTGAATATGAAATCACGTATGAGATGTGAGTGCAGTGAAGCATCCTTGCTGCCCTTCCCTGGTAGTTACCATTTTTCGTGGTTACAATAATTAGTATTTGCTTTCCATATATTTTCAATTTATTTTTAGTGCTAGTAAAATACGGTTTATTGTACCAGATTTACAATAGAACTTACCCTTTTTTGTAATGTGCTTTGGGGTTCTCTAGAAACATACATGTAGGTACAAGTATGATTATTGTGATTAAAGTTGTGTAGTTTTGCAGTATGTCGTAGGTAGAGCTTTTAAGACATAACCTGAAGATAACTTGCAAAACATATGATGCACTTGCTTTATGTCTGTAGCTCAGCATTATATTCATTTTTGCTCTTGAAAACGTGTAGCATGCAGCATCTGTGGAAGGCCTGACTGTTGATTTAGGATGGTAGCTTTTGAACACGTGATGTCAAAATCTTGATCTTTCTGTGTCAGCAGGAGTTGAGAGAACTCAGTTTTGCAGAGCTGGACCTTTATTTTGCACATTCTGTTTCAGTGTGTTCGCCAAGAGGAAAGAGATGCTTTTGCTTTAAAGAAGGTGGCCTATAAAAGAAGTTAAGGGTGAACGGAGAGAGGAAGAATCTTTCCTATTCCAAACGATAATTGATGACATTTTGCTGGCAACTGCTTTGTGTAGCCTATTTCATAAACCATCACAAAAGTAGTTTAAATCTCTTTATTTTCACTTGAGAAGAGCCTAAGGGAAAAAAAGGCTGAGGAGAGATATGGCTGTTATTTCTAAGTACATTGGAAGGGGGAAGGAATTAAAAACATCAGGGAAGGAAGAAGGCTGTTGACTATAAAGAGTAGTCTGAGCCCAAGAAGAAGTAAGTTTAAACTGGCTGTGAATAACAGGTTGTTAGAAAATAGAAAGCCTTTGACCACCAGCAGAGTGAGGTTCTGAAAACGGCTTTTCTACTGGGAGCAAAACAGTGTTACTGTCAATATGGTATATCTAGATCCCTATATTTGTGGTGGTAGTACTACCTGTATATTTAATCCAGTGGTTTGTTCTGGTTTTTTTTCTTTAACACAGAACCTGATGTGGCTTCAAGTGATGCCACCAATATGCAATGCAGCATTGAGTGAGATGGCGAGAAGTGGTGGAGCAGTGGTAAGTACGGAAACCCTAAATAAGAACGGCTAAGTCTAAAATTCTTTCTGAGAACTGATAAAACAAAAATATTTGTGCTCCATTTCTGAGATGGAAAATTGTCTCTTCTTGGGTAGAGGCAATAGAATGTAAAACAACGGAAAGAGCTGAATCGAGCTTTTGTTCTATGAAGCAAAGTCCAAGACTGAAATCCAATTTGGGGTTTTGGCCTTTCTGGAACCTCTGAGTTTTGTTCACAGAATGAATGCAACTATTGTTCTTTAAACGTTACCTCTTTCCATCAGGTAACTCACACATTTATGGCCGTAGCCTTTAAACTTTGTTTTTATGAAGCTGTCTTTGGCAGCTTGTGTGTGAGGTTTGAGTATACTGTTACTAGTTACAGTAAAGTTTGGCTGCTTTTTAAACTAGCCTGTGATGCTGTTGGACTGACTTCTACAGGTAATTCTCTTATACTGTACTTCGCAGAAAAATCAATGGATTAGACTGTAAGTGGTAAATGTCCTTGATATTATAGTACCATTACTTTTTTATTGAAACATACATGACAACAACTGGAAAATCACCATTCCCTGGGAGTTTGGAAGCCAGCTACATAAACTGAGTTGCTAACTGGAGTGAAACTTGAATGTTTCATTTATGTACCTTTGAGTGTGGCAGCTACCTACAGGTACATGCTTGTGCAATACCTAGACTCACCAGAAGATAGGGCGCTCTCTCTTTTCTAGTACTGCAGAACTGGCAGCAAAAGGAGGCATGATATCTTGTCTCTTGACCTGACAGTGTCGCTTAACTGCTGGCTGCTACCTTTGCTCTGGGTCAGTGTCTCCCAACTGTGCATTGCAGTTCCTAAGGAAGTAATGGGAAAGTTTGTAGGAGGTCACACACACAAAATATTATTCATAAAATTAGTTACGTGAATTATAGAAAGGAGAGTAAACATAAGAGAGTAAGCATGATTTGGTTTGTCTTATTTCTAATAAAAATAATTAGGACAGTCAGATTTGCATAAAAATAGATGCACAAAAGGCACTGCAATTTCAGGACGTTTGAGAAACACATACATGCAGTTCTGCCTTAGTCAGAGTCTCCTTTTCTGCCTGGTTGGTTTTTTGGGTGGGGTTTTTTTTTGTTTTGGTTTGGGGTTTGGGGTTTTTTTCTGTTTTTTTCTTTTTACTCTGAGTGGGACATTAGGACCTTGGATGTTTGGGAATTCCAGAAGCCTGACAGCCTGGTCAGAATGTCACTCTGGGTGCAACCACTCTTTACTTGTGAAGACAAATCATAAATCACACATGCAAGGAGTCAGTTGCTTTGTGGCAGAACTGGAATTTCTTACTATGCTCTGCATGCGTGCTTTGCACATCTACAGTAAATCCAGTATGGCTTAAACATGTCAGATTTATGGTGTATGTGTAGACCATCTGTTGAGCACTTCTGATTTATCTGTTCACGCCCTAGTATTTCTCAAAATACCGTGCAGAAGTATTTCTCAAAATACTGGGCAGAAATTCTGTAAGCTTTTGTCATCCAAGCAGAGAGAAGAGGCTTGTGTCTTGTTTATGCTACTGTTGTTTCTTGTCTGTCATTTTAGAGCTTTTTCTTCCAGTCCATAATTGTGTAACTAGGAACAGTGTCTAAAAATGAGAGATTCTTGTTGGCTTTCATAAGCCGTAGATCAGGCATTTTGTCAGAGCCCATGGGATGTTTGAAGGCAGGGACAGTATGCTGTAATACCACGGTTTTAATTTTGAAAGATAATATGCCAATATATTTGAAATGCTTCCAGAGAGTCGTGGAAAACTGCTGTTTTCCTGGAATCCTCTCCAGCACTGTGGCAGGGGACAGCTTTGGTACCTCTCCGTGGAAAAACTGTAAATCCCACTGACCATGAGCTCCATATGGAGTCAGAACCTCTCTCGTTCATCAAGCAAGGCCTCTAGCCTTTGCTGGTTGATAAATGCCTATAATGAGAGATGTCAAGATCTACTAAAACAAAACAAACATAAAGATGTGAATAAATGACAGCCAGTGCACTTTTTGTATTCTTTGATTTTATTGTATCTCCATATATTTTAGCAGATACAGTTATTGCAGTGTTTGATTAATTTTACAAATTCTGACTAGAAATTCCAGGCCCTGTATCTGAAGATTAACTTAACTTCTTCTTACATTTCTGCTAATGCTTTGACTGTACTACTTTGGCATTTACATTTGACATGACATTTACAACAATCTAGAATGTGCCTCCCATAGGGCGCTGGGCTTGTTGAAGTTTAGGATGAGCAGAAAAGGAGAGGTGAAAGGTCATTTTTGGTAGTTACAGAGAAGGAGTTACTGTTTTTTGTGGAGGATGTTGTTGTTGCTATACATATGTGGAAATACATAGAGAATGGCTTCCCCCCCCAGTTCTCAGCCACGAACGGATACCTCATTTCAAGCTGCAAATGTATCTATGGAGTGATAGCTGAGGAAAAAGGTGGAACTGACTTATTAGGCAAATGTCCTAAAGTTTTACAAAGTAGTTGGAGAAACACAAGATTATTAACTTTTGGTACAAAAGTTCCTGTACTGCTCTTTTATTACTGATGGTTTCTTTTTCTGTTTTAATTATATGTTTAGACATGTACAGATTGTTCATTACACAGTTATTTAAGTGCCTAGTACTATGACCCTTTTAAATTTAAATCTTGGGGGTTTTTTAGGTGTTTGGGTTTTGTTGTGTTTTTTTTTTTCTTTTAGTAAATAGCTCTAGTTGTTTCTAGAAATTTCAGTATTTAGTTCTTGCCTAATGCTTAATTTTGATCAACATGTTCCACTTCAAACTGCACTGTAGTGTCTTGGATAGTCCGCAGGTTCAGAAATTAATCTGAAAGTTGACTTGCAGACAAACAGCTGCTGAAACAATACCCCCAGATTTAGTAAATAATTCCCTTGGTTATATAAGATAATGAAAGTAATGGAGAGTCTATATAATGAAACTAATTGTTTCTTCAGTATGGTCTTCATAATTCACAGAAATTTCTTCAGATCTTCCGTTCTGTCGTTGTCTTCTCCAGTATCCATAATTTTTTGCGATTTTCATAATATGCATTTTAAAAGAGGCACCCAGAAAGGCATAGAGAAGAGGGTTCAGGCAGGTGTGAAACAAAGCTATGCTCTTGGTGACCTGGAGTGTGACGTCTGTGGTTTTACTTGCATCACAGTCAGTAATCACCATGTAGATGATATCTATCGCTCGCCAGAACTTAACAATGTTGTAAGGTAGCTGGGTAATAATGAAAGTAGCCACTACTGCCAGCAGAACCATGAAAGGTCTAGATTTTTTAGCATTTGCAGATCTAAAGATTGCTCGAGCAGTAGCTGAATAGCAGATCAGCATTACTAGGAAAGGAAGCAGAAATTCCAGGATAATTTCCAGGATTTGAATGGTTGCTTTTAAGAGTGTTTCCATGTTCATTGGAAATACAAGAAGGCATTCATTCCTGTCATTGTGTTTCTTGACTTGATTAAATATCAGTTCAGGGATACTGAGTAAAACGGCAGACAGCCAGACACAGATGCAGGTAACACTGCAGTGTTTACCAATTCTTCTATGACCCCGGGATTCTGAAGTGGCCCTGTATCTATCCACACTGATACAGGCCAGGAACAGCATGCTAGAGCTGAAATTCATGGTGTACAGAGAAGAAGTGAGCTTGCACATTGAGTTTCCAAGTTCCCATCCCTGCACTGCATTTGCAGCCCAAAAAGGGAGTGTAAAGAGCAAGAGCAAATCAGCAGTGGCTAGATGCATGATGTACACATCCGTCTTAGTCTTCAGTTTCTTGCAATAGGCATAAATTGCGACCACTAATGAATTTCCAGCGACTCCAACAGTGAAAGCCAATGCATAGAACACAGGAAGGAATAATTTACTGAAATTTCTCACATAACTTTTTTCACAGAGAAGCTCATATGTATTGTAATCTATAACAGAGTTGCTATCATCCTCCTCGTCCTCAATCCAGTAATCAGTTGAGTTATTCATGTCCCAGCCCACGGCAAAGCTACAAGACACAAGAAAAGGGGGGAGAAGGGAACACCAAAGAAATAATACTGGTTTTCAGTTTTAAAATTTCTGTTGAAACCTAAAACCCTTGCTCAGGGTTACTTATACATTTCAAGTTTAAAGAAGTTGGATATTGAGAAAACATTCATAAATAATCAAAGTAGAGCTAGACAGTGATGGAGGCAGAACAGACCAGCTCAAATTCTCACATGAAATGGAGTAACTGACTACATCCATGTGTGCAATGCAAAGTAAAATGGATTCAATGGAAATGCTTTCATTAACCTTAGCATTTGAGATTGCAAGGTGCTTGGAGTGTACCTCACTGGTTTCCACATTTCAGTTGAGGAACCATCATTGCTTAAACTGCTCTGACTCGTTATGTTTGACAATATTCCATTGCAAAATAAATTTGTCTGTACCTTTATAGGGTTGAAATTACACCTTCCTCTCTACAGCCTCTGCAAAGCAAAGGAGTACCAGTTGAAGGCTGTAAATGCTATTACAATAGAGTGGATAAGGAATACTAACAGATTAAAGCTGAGAGGCAAGCAGTAGTATTCTGTGCCTAGTATCATAAATTTTGGCAAATTTGGGATATGAGTATAATATAGGGAGAGTGTCCTTGTTTGTTACTCAGGCATACATATACATGCCCATTACATAAAGCACAGCAATGGAAGTCAGTTGCTGGACAGCAGTGGAACAGGCTTAGTTTAGTCTCCATCCCACACAGCGAGCCATGCCTACGTGGAATTTCTTACAGAATCAGATTGCTGTGGGTACACTGCATCTTACAGCTGGAGACTTCTCAGGATGTTATGACACAAAGGAATCTTATCACATACAAAACTGCCCACAAGTACCCAAACCGCTCAGAACCTCAGCTGTTTTTTCAAGTACTATCTCATGACAGATTTACTCCGTAAACACTGAGGCTGTATTCTCA